CCCCCCCGCCCCCCCCTGACGAGCCGGGGAAAAAACAACAACAACAAGGTCCCGCGCTCCCACCGGGATGAGACCCACGCCCGCCGCCCGCCCCCGCCGAATGCGCGCGGGGATTTAGGGTCGGGAGAAAGAGAAAGGGAGAGAGAGAGAGAGAGAGAGCGAGAAAGAGAGGGAGAGAGATGCGGGCCGCTCAAGGCGGCGTAGCACTCGACGAGGTCCCCACAAGTGTAGGGTAAGGCTCCAACGTGCGGACCCGTATTTGGCCCCGCCCCCCCCCCCCCCAGCAGGCCGGGCCTGGGCGGGGGCAAGGGCCGCCAGAAATGAAGTGTGCGGCCCATGCGGCTCGAGCTCGGGCGGCAACGGCGCCTGCCTCGAGAAATGCCCCTTCCCCCTCGGCCGCCCTGGCAATGCGTGGCACCATACCGGAGCAGACGCAGGTGAACAGACGGGGCCGAGAGCCACAGGGAGGCGCAGGCGCAGGGCGGGGGGCGAGCGCGAAAAGGGGGGCCCAGCGCGAGGGTTGCCTTGTACCGGGATGCTCCCCCGGCGCGGGGCTAGCGAACGCCCGGAGGAGACCAGGGCACCTCGCATACGCCCGGCTCTGCCAGCTCTTCCCCGGTCCAGCCCCCGCTTGGGGTACGTCACTGCTCTGCCACGTACACCTAGAGTGTGCACGCACGCACGCACGCACGCACGCACGCACGCACGCACGCACGCACCCACACGAACGAACGAACAACCCCCCATGCTACGTGAGCTGCTTGCGTGGGCCCCCGGCGGAAAGCCGCCCCCCTTCCCGGCCCCGGCACTGGCAGGCCAACAAGCGGCCGGTCTCACAGTCATTAGGCCCTGCCCGAGAGGCAGCCGGGGCAGCCAGGTGCCCCCAGACACACGGGTTGCCAGCCGCCGGAGCCTCGGCTTCCCCCCGCGGCCACGCACAGAGATGCCTATCCCCAACGGTCCCGAGAGGGGGGGGGGGGGGGGGGGGGCCAGGCGCCCGCCGGCGGAGGGGCAACAAGGGCGCTTCCCCGCGCGCAGGGGGCTTGGACCGGCGGCGGCCACCGAGCCGGGGGAGGGAAGTTCACCGGAACGCGTGTTCGGGCCGAGCTCAGGCCGGCGGCCGCCCGGGGGCAAGGCACGCGCGCGCGCGAGCGCGCCCCCCACGGAGCGAAGAAGGAAGGAAAGCGCCCCTGAATGGGCGCCCGTGACCCGGCCATCACATGCCACTGTCAGACACTACGCGGCGATCTCCGCCTCAACCAGGCACATTTCCCAGACTCGCGTGAATCTCCCCCCCCCCCCCCCCGCCCGCCCGCTCGCCCGCACCTCCCGAAGGCAGCGACACTCCGGGGGAAATATGCCCCCTCCCCCCTCTGGAGAAGGGGGGCATCACAGGCCGGCACCCGAGCTCGCCCCAGCTGAGGGGCCGCATTATCCCCTGTGAGGCAGCACAGAGGAGCGTGAAGTTCCCCACCCCCGCCCCCCGGCCGGCCAGCCAGCCAGCCAGCCAGCCAGCTAGATTCCCCAATGAGAGAGCCCCCAGAGCTGCCCCCTGACAGTGTGCTCTTGCACCTCCAAATCAGTGCCGGTGGGCAGACGGAGGTGGCGGCACCCCCACCCCGGGCACCGCCCCCGGCCCTGGCGCTTCAGTCTTTTGGGCGAGCCGCGCCTGGGCCCGGGCATCCCGGGACCTAGAACAGCCGCCTCTCGCCCTGCTTCCACCATCCTCCTCCCCCCCCCCTTGTGCCTGCCTCCGCCGTCTCCCTCCTCCTCCCCCTCCTCCCACGCCACCCACCCCACCCACCCCCTGCACAACGCTCAACATGACAACCCCGAGCAAGCAGCCCCCCTCCCCGGCGCGGAAAGTACCCGACGCCTCGGTCGAGATTGCCGGCCTGTCGCCCCCCCTGCCGCTGGCCATCTTCAATGCCATGGCCATCTACCTGGGGTTCATCGCGGCGTCCGAGGCCCTGCCGGACCTCTTCGGCCCGATGATCAGCCGCCTGCCGCTGCTGGTGGTGCCGATCCTCAAGACCCTGCCCATCTGGATGCTGCTGTTCCATGTGCTGGCCCGGCCGGTGCATGATGGCTTCAGCCTGGGCATGGCCTTCGGCCTGGCGGCGTCCTCCATCGGTGACATGGCCCTGGCGCTGGAGCTCGACGAGCGGTACTTCCTGGCCGGGCTCGGGGCCTTCTTCGTGGCGCATGTCCTCTACTCGCTGGCCATCATCTCCGACGACGATCTGTCCAACTTCTCCGGCTTCATGGCGCTCCTGTCCGGCGGCATTGCCCTCGGTGCCGCGGCCCTGGTCCTGCCGCTCTTCATCTACCACGTGCCGATGGAGATGCGCATGCATGTGCTGGCCTACTGCGCGGTGATCATTGTCACGCTTTGGCGCGCGTTGGCCCGCTTCACCACCGACCTTTCGGACGCCCAGTACCGTGCCGCCGGCAAGCCGACGAAGGCCACCTCCAGCTACGTGCGCCGCGGGTCGGCTGCCACCGCTCTCGGCGCGGCCTTCTTCGTCCTGTCCGACTCGCTGCTGGCCTACAACCGCTTTGCGCAGCCCTTCCGCTTCTCGCACTTCCTGGTCATGCTCACGTACTACTCGGCCCAGGCCCTGCTGGCTGGCAGCGCGCGCGCCGACAACTACCGCATCGCCCCGGGCGCCCAGGTGCTGAACCCGGTCCGCCAGTAAGCAGGCCCCCTCCCTCTTCCCGTGTCTGCCTCTGCCCCTCCCTCCGCATGGGGATCTCCGACAAAATACATGCGACACTCCCCCGCCCCCCTCCCCCCTTCTTTGTCTTTTTCTTGCCTTTCCCATTGCCATCCTCCCTACCGACTCCTGCCTGATGTTGCCTTTCGCGCGCGCGTGTGTGTGTGTGTGTGTGTGTGTGTGTATGTGGCCGCGCCGCCGGCACACGACAGGCCACCGCCGGGCACACGCACACACCGGCACGCAATCCGAACACCTTCTCGCGGGAAGAGGGGAAACAATTCTATATTTAACAGGGGGGGGGGTAGTGGACAGGCACACGGTTATGGACTTGTGTACACATGGAGGAAGGAGGGGGGGCGCAGAGGGGAGGAAAAGCGGAAGAGAGGCGACACGAGGGAGAGCACAGCCGCGGCGGCGCAGGGCACACGCCTGCACGCCGCACCGTCTTGCGCCGGCTGCTGGCTTGTCGGCCCCCCGTGCTGGCTTCTCTCTCCCTCTCTCTCTCTCTCGCCCTACTTAACGCAGGTACTTGCTGATCGGCTCGCCCAGGAAGACCTCCATCTTGGCCGACAGCTGGTGCACCAGGGCCAGGACCTCCTCGTCGTCGTCCTCCATCAGCTCGGCGATGTACGGCAGGGTCTCCGGCAGGAGGATGGTCAGCTCCTCGCCCAGACGGTTGTACATCTCGATGACCACGCTGATGGCCACGCAGCGCAGATCGATCGACGGGGCCCGGGTCAGATCCAACACCGCCGCATTGATGGCCTTCCACATGACGTCGTTGCTGACCGTCACCGCCAGCTGACCCATCAGCGGGACCAGGGTCTCGCCGGCCACCGCGCGCATGGAGCCGGCATCGGCCTGCAGCAGCGGCGAGGTGAACTGCTGGACCAGCAGCGGCAGGATCCGCGCGAAGCGGTCCTTCTCGAAGAAGCCCTCCGTGTCGAAGACCAGCGACTTGTGGATGGACGACAGCAGGCGACGCCACAGGAGCATGCCGGCCTCGAGCGGCAGCAGGCCGCCGGTCTTGGCGGCAGCCTCATCCTGGTCAAGCTGGTCGCGCGAGCGCTTCCCGCCGACCGACTTGCGGGCCGGGCTCGGCGCGGCCAGCATGAACATCGACGATCCGGCGACATTCGCACCGCCGGCGGCGCTGCCGGCCTTCAGATCCACCGACTCCGGCAGCGACACGAGCAGGTCCATCATGCTCTCGAAGACGTGGCCCAGGAAGGGGATGAACACGGACTTCAGCCGGTCCAGCATCTTGTCCACCGCGAAGTAGAAGGACAGCTGCCGGGCCGGGGTCCGCTCAATGCCATTGGCCCAGTCGACAAACTGCAAGCCAGGGGGGAGGCGGGGAGAGAGGGAGAGAGCGAGGAGGGGACATAGACCACGTCTCAGTACCGGCACATGGAGGCGAAAGCAAAAGAGCAAAAGAGCAAAAGAGCAAAAGAAGCAAAGAAAAAAGAGCCCGCCGAGGGGGGCGCACCTTGATCAGCTGCGGGCGGAACATCGACTCATTCATCTTCGTCACCAGCTCCAGGTACATGTCCACGGCGGCGGCCTCCACGCGATCGGTCGCCGGGGCGGCCGGGGCCTTGCCATTGCGACCGCGCAACGACACGGCGCCCAGGAAGAGCCCGAAGAAGTCCTCGCTGAACATGACCACGGCCGAGCGGTTCAGATGCCCGACGATGTCACGCGACAGGTGGAAGAAGGCCACCAGCGAGGCCTCCTCGGCCACCGGGGCCTGGCGCTCGAAGTACCCCTTCAGCGCCGGAAGCAGCACACGCGGCGGCAGGTTCTGCCCCAGGAGCTGCAGCACCCGACGGGTCTTCATCACGTGTGCTCTTCCGATCTGACGATGTCACGCGACAGGTGGAAGAAGGCCACCAGCGAGGCCTCCTCGGCCACCGGGGCCTGGCGCTCGAAGTACCCCTTCAGCGCCGGAAGCAGCACACGCGGCGGCAGGTTCTGCCCCAGGAGCTGCAGCACCCGACGGGTCTTCATCAACAGCTCCGAGCTGTCGGCACCACTCGAGGAAAGCGACGCACCACCGGCACCGATCGACGCGTCGCCCACCTGCGCCAGCATGTACGGATCCAGGCAGCAGGCCAGCGTGTCGGCGATGTACGGCGACAGGAATTGCGGCAGGTGCACCAGCAGATCCTCCAGCAGGGCGATGGCCGACCGAAGGAAGTACTGCTGCGAGCTCAGATCGGAAGAGCGTCGTAGGTGCACCAGCAGATCCTCCAGCAGGGCGATGGCCGACCGAAGGAAGTACTGCTGCGAGCTCCGGCGCTGGCGCTCGGCCACCGCGGCACTCATGCTGGCCGGGGTCACGGCGCCGCCCTCCTCGGCGGAGGACCCGATGATGCCCGACGCACTCCCGCCGGCCGCCATCGGAGCGGCCTTGGAATCCAGCCACTGGCGGAAGAGCCCCAGGAAGTCCTTCATGAACTGCGGCAGGAAGGGCAGGATCTGCTGCTTCAGCTGCGAGCACAGGGACGCCAAGCAAATCAGGCTGTTGGCCGCCACCTGGACATTGGTGCTCTTGACCCCGGCGATGACCACCGGCACCACCTCCAGGAAGGTGGCCGCCTCGGTGGCCGCGAAGAACCGAATCAGGATCTCCAGCGACACCAGGGCACTCTGGACATTGAGCACGGCATCGGCATCGGCCCCGCCGGCGCGAATGACCCCGGTCACATCGGCCAGCATCGACAGGAAGAGGTCCTTGTGGCGGTGGCTCTCCTGGCTGTCATCCAGCAGGCGCTGGTTGAAGAGCAGCAGCGTGCGCCGGCGCAGGGAGCTGCTCCGGTGCTGCAGCAAGCGCGACACCACATTCAAGAAGGACGGAATCGACAGCAGGGAGTTGGTCTGGTTGATGACATCATACACCCGGGCATTGATGTGGCGGAAGGCCTTGACCGCGGCCGGGCCGCCGATCTCCTCCATCGGCCGGGCCAGGTGGGCCCCAAGCGAATCGACCAGACTCAGCAGCGACTCCAGGATGGAGATGAACAGCTGCTCGAAGGGGCTGTTGGAGGCACCGCCGGCGGCGGCCGGGGCGGCCGTCCCGGCCGCCGCACCACCGCGCGACGACCGGCTGACAAACTTCTGCAAGAAAGCCCGGCTGGCCAGGACCTCGGAAATGAAGCGGATCGTGTCGTACTTGAACATGCGCAGCTGCCGGGCCGGCATGCCATAAATGTCCACCAGCATCAGGTCACGATCGATGCCGGCCGAGCTGCCCGAGGAGGACCCGCCGCTGGCCGGCCCCTCGGACGCGCCACCACGCGGCACATCATTCGGCAGGGACAGGACCAGCTGCAGCAGCTGCAGCAGCGCCTGCAGCTGGGCCTCCGGCTGGAAGGAGTTGCTCAGCGTCACGCAGAACTCCCGCAGCGAGTCGGCATCGGCCGCCGGCGGGGCGCCAGCCGCACTTCCGGCCGGCTTCTGGCTCAGCTTGTCCAGCAGCAGCGCGAAGATGGCATACAGGTACTGCTCCTGGCCCAGGGTGCTGGCCAGGATGTCAAACAGCCGCACCCGGCGGTGGTTGGGAATGTGGCCCAGCGCATCGACGAAGACCTTGATCACCGGCTTGATGGGAACCACATTGATGCCGCCCCCGAGCGAGGGGGAGTTCTTCACCAGCGGCGGGATGACAAACTGCAGGGTCTGCTGGATGACGAAGAAGGAGTAGTTGTCATCCTGCCGCAGGACATTGGCACCCATGAAGGCGAAGACCGGCATGATGGAGGACAGGACATTCTCCGGGTAGATGGCCGCGATGGAGCTCATCAGCAGCAGGGCCAAGTGGTGGAGCTGGGGATTGTCGCTGGATCGGATGCAATCCACCAGGACATCCATGCGGAAGCCGGTCTGCCCGGCCCGGCGCTCGGCCGACGCGCGATCCAGCGACTGGAAGGCATTCGACAGGGACAGCAGCGAGGACAGCAGCAACTGCCGAAGGTAATCCCCACCGACGGACGGGCCAGCCAGCACGGCCGACTCCAGCAGCGAAAACAGCAGCGTCACCAGGTCATTGTTCGGCAGGATGACCCGGCGCAGCTCGAAGGCCTCCAGCGTGCCGATCAGCAGCGCGCCCACCGTGTCGAGCTCCTGCTGGGAGTCGCCCCCGGTGGCAGGGGCACCGGCCGCCTCGGGCTGGGCCACGCGCCGGGCCGCCGCGCCATACGTCTCGGCCAACCCGCGGAAGGCCTCGGCAAATTGGGCATTGACATCGCTCAGCCGGCCGAAGAAGGCCCGGATGCCGGCCGCCAGACGGCTGTCCTTGGTGGACGTCAGCAGCCGGATGACCTGCTGGAACAGGCGCTGCCCATAGGCCGCCGGGTGGTGCAGGAAGAAGTCCTTGGACACGGCCTCCAGCAAAACCAGCCGGACCCCGGTGCTGGGGCCGGCGGCCTCCGCCTCCGCCTCCTCCTCCTTCTGCGGAGCCAGGAAGCCCAACAGCGCCTCGGCCACCGCCACACGCTGGTCCTCCTTCAACTGGCGCAGGGCCGCGCTATGCAGGCAGCCGAAAAGCTCGCGGGCCAGGGCCGAGGCCGCGGGCTCCGACAGGCTGGCCAGGGCCGGCAGGCGTGCCTCCAAACTGGCCAGCCCGGCCACCAGGTGCGGCAGCTTGAAAGCCGCGTCCACACTGCCCAGCACCCGGAGCAGGGTCGCCTGGAAGAAGGGCTCCGCCAGGGCCCCGGAGGCCCCGAGCAGGAAGCTGATGACCTTCAGCTTGAAGGAGTTGTTGCGCGGGGCCTTGAGCATGGCGCCGAGCACCGCCGGCAGCGCCGACGCATCCATGGCCAACTCGGCGCGCGCGTCCAGCAGGCCCTTCAGGAACTTGGCGGACTTCTTGGTGCTGAGGAAGGCGCTGACCGGCTGCCCGGCGGTCGTGGTGGGGAAGAGCTCCGAGAAGCACAGGACCAGGCTCCGGTCCACGGCCGGGCCGGCGCCGGCCACCGGGGCCGCCGACCGCGCACCACTCCCACGCCGGGCAACAACCCCACGAGCGGCCTTGTGCGCGGCCTTCGGCAGGGCAGCCTGGACCTCCTGCAGGGCGGCCAGGCAATCGACCGCCGCCGAGCGCACCGCCCCGGACGGGTGCACCAGCGGCACCAGCAACACCGGGCCCAGGGCACCCAGGTCACGATGGGCCTCCTGCGTGGCGATGACCACCTGCAACAGGCGCAGGGCCGCCACCACGGTGGACGCCGGCAGGGCAGCCGGCGGGGCCACAATCACCCCAGCCAGGAAGCCCAGCGGCGCGTGGTCCAAGTGCTCGGCCAGCAGCAGGACCAGCAGGTCGGCCGCGAAGCTGGCCGACCCGGCCGCCGCCGCCAACGGAGCCAAAGTCGAGAAGAGGGACAGGAGCAGGGCGTGATACGGCTGCTGGGCCAGGCCGGCCTGGAGCAGGGCCAGCGGAGCCCGACGCCGGGCCGACGACCGGACCAGCGCCAGCAGAAGCCCCTGCAGGGCGGCCTGCGTGCGAGCCGTGGCCTCCGGCAGGGCCAGCGCCGCCTCGAGGGCACTTTCGAGGGCGGTGTCGGCCGAAACCACCGCCGGGGCGGCCACCGCGGCGGCCACCGCAGCCGGCACACGCCCAAGCGCGGCCAGCAGCTGCTCGGTCTGCACGAAGAAGGCCGCATCATCGCGGGCCTCGGGCTGTCCAGACACCAAAGCCAGGCCGATCAGCCCGGCGGCCGGGGCCGTCAGATCCTGCAAGTCGGGCAGGGCGCCGATCAGCCCGGTGAGGGTGGATTCCGGCAGACGCGTGGCCACCGCCGTGGCCACCGCCGCGCCGACCGCCGGCCGGGCACTCCCGGCAGACACCGGCACCTTGGCCAGCCCGGCCAGCAGAGGACACGCGGCCGAAGCCAAGGCCGGCAGGGCCGCCGCCACATCCAGGCGCATGTCACCGGTCAGAGCCGCCAGCAGGACCGGCAGCACATCGGCCAGCAGGCCCGGCTGATGGTGCGACATGGCGGCCACCAGGGGGAAGATGCCGGCCGGCAGGCGGACCGGCTGGTCGTCAGCGTCGCGCCCAGTCACCAGCACCGTCCACAGGTAGCTCTGCAGCTGGTCGGCCTCCACATGGGGGAGGATCTCCTTGCGGGCCAGGATATCCAGGGCCGCCTCGACCACCGGCGGGTGCGAGTCGTACAGCTTGCCGAGGGCCGTGGCCGCGATGTAGGCATGGTTGGCCGCCGGGGTGGCGATGGCGTCGGCCAGCTCGCGAATGGCCTGCTCGCGGATCCCATCGCTCGGGTGGTTCAGCGTCAGCAGCAGCGAGGAGGAGTTGTCCCCGAGCGGCTGGTGCCGCGACCCATCGAAGACACCCTTGAACACCTGGAAGACCAGGGCCTTGCGCTTCTCGGTCAGGGTGGCCGAGAAGTGCACCATGCAGGAGTCCACCGCATCCGGGTAGCGGGTGCTCAGCAGGCGCAGGATGGCCAGCATGGTCGGCTGGCTGGCGGCCGCGGCGGCCGCGTCCATGTCCTGGTCCGCCAGCACATCGACCACACGCTCGAACAGGGCCACCGTGGTGGAGGCCACCAGCTCGGCGCAGGTGAGCGGCACGGCCTCCAGGAACTGGAGGCACACCTCGGGCACACCCTCGCGGTGGCTGCGTGGGCGCATGTGCGCGCACAGACACGCATGCGCATGCACGTGTGTTCGAAGACCGAGTGACAAACGGGACAGGGGTGAGAATGGGGCAGCCTCAACTCGGGGAGGGAGGGGGGGGGGGGGGGGCAGCGCAAAATACAAAGGAAGCGAACACGCACAGGTGGACGGTGCAGGAGCCGAGGAAGCCCTTGATCAGGCCGTGGGCGATGCCCATGGCGCTGACCTCGGCCAACCGGGCCCCAAGCCCGGACAGGGCCATCAGGCCGCTGAGGTGCTCCGGCTCGAAGACCACGGTCGGGCTGTTGTGGCAGATGAGCGCCAGGACCGGCAGCGCGGAGGCCGCCGTCCGGTCGGTGGTCTTGGTGCAAAGGAGAGCCGTCACCACGCGGGTGGTCTCCTGGGCCACCTGCGAGCCGCCAAACAGCTGCGACAGAATGAGGTGGCTGGCGATCTGGAAGTCGGCACTCGGGGAATTGAGCCCGGCGAAGAGGACCGGCAGGGCGGCATTCATGAATTCCTCCGTGGCGGCCTTGGTGCGATTGAGCATGCCGGAGGCCACGGTCAGGAAAAGCGACACATGGACCTTGAAGGGCTCGCCCTGCGGGGGGGTGATCTGCCGAGGAGAGGGGAAGAGGGAGGGGGGGAGGGGAGAC